AAAAAGACTTAAAGGGCCATGCTCTCTAAACCCCAAAGGGGTTAGACATTGTTGAATAATACAAAACATTCCTTTTTTATATAAAGAGTCATCAGTGTATTTCACACAGAAACTCTGTAGAGCGTAAATAATTCAGATGGTTTTACAAAAGTGTCTAGGCACAGACACAAGGTACAATAAGGATTGCCAAAACATTCCACTTCACTTCCACCAGTAACACTACTCTGCTCGGAATCCATCCCACGCCTCTCCCCCAGGGCTTAATGGTTGGATGCACAGCTGCACATTTTCAGGCTTGTGACTCAAAGGAAGAGCTATAGGTACCCTTGATAGCATTGCCCTGGCTGTTTCCATTTTGTATTGGATGCCCTGCTCGCTGCTCAAACCACAGAGTAAGTCTCTACACCTCAGCCTCCCACCCATTGCTAAGGCTTTCTCCCTTACTCTCACAAATATTGTGCAAAATGCAACATACAGCTTTAATCTTAGACAGACTTTATCTGAAGCTTCCAATCTATTCCACAGATTGCACCAGCTTCCTTTCAAATGGCCACATGCACATGCCACTGCTGTTCTACAACTACTGAGGCAGTAGTTAGACAGTTCCTTCCTTCTGTCCAAGCAGCCTGTGAATGACTTCCTTAGCCAGGGGAGCTGAGAATAAGCCAAGATTTCCAGGATAACCAGATAGATCTCCACACAATTAATGTCCATTGTGATCCTCGGGGCAAACTGTCCTTAATCCATTAAGGTAAATAGAGCTGAGCTCCATATGATGCTAGCATCGTGAATCCCTCCAGACCACTCTGCACTTATGTTCATAAACCACAGTGGACAATCAGCCTGTGGTGCACTGTGGAAAAATTCCCATTTCTGTTTACAAATTCTGAACCCTGATGGGAGGAGGAAGGGTCAAATAATAGGCCCATGGTTCCCATGAATTGCCTCAGAACAGTCTAGGAACCCCAGGCATGCAAAGCCATCAATAATCTCTTGAGTATTATTGAGCTTTATATCCCAGTGCAATAGTACCGTTCCCATGGCATCACACACCTGCATGACAATGACCCCAACAGTTCATACCCCCATGCCAAATTGGTTGGCGGCAGCATGGTAGCATGCAGAGGTGGCCAGCTTCCAGATGGCAGTGGCAACTGGCATGTTGGTATGCATTCACTTTAGCTTCAGGGTTAGTTCTGTACACATCTCAAAAAAGGTTGCCTTTGCCATCCTGAAATTCTCTCGCCACTGCGGGTCATTCCAGGTCTGCAGAATGATCTTTTTCCACTGGTCTCCCGAGCCCAGAAACAAAGCTGCATAGTGTGAATCTGCTCCGGGAACTGTTCCTTTCATATCAGTTACTCAGTGTTCTTCACTTTTTACTTGTCCTCATCCCTCTTCCTCCTCTGCTGCTGCTGAAGCTGCTAACGCTGCTGGAGGAGCTGATGCTGCCACCACATCTGCTTGGTGATGTGGCAGGTGAAGCCTAAAGCCAAATTCATCCAACTTTGAGTGCTAAAATACAGCCCAAGCAGCCTCTGTGAATTCACAGTTGCCAGCATAACAGAGCAGAGCCATTGTCAGGTTCATGCTTGATGACAGCAATTCAAAAAGGGTGCTAGCCCACCCAGAAAGGAAGTGTGGGGAGGAGACAGCAGAAACATGGGATTTTAAAATAAAATTTGAACCCACTTGGCTTCTAGTATGCATCCCACAATGCAGAGCGAGAACCTTCTGTGTAAACAACCCTTAACATGTACATATGGTGAACAACTGTAACTCCTTGATGTTGCCATGGAATTTTTCAACCTCTTCATCACTGTCACTAGTTGGGGTGTAGCGCTGGAAAACTAGTTACATTATAGGGATGAGTTGCCAATCTAAGGGTCATTAACCTGCTGCTGACCAGTCTGCAGGTAATTACTGATCTACTTTCTGATCTGCAGTGCAACCATCCTGTCTTATTCTATTGTTGCCACTCCAGATCAGAGTGTTTTCTTCCACAGTAATCATCATTCCATTCCTAGTCTCTCTGGATTCACACAAACCAATCATATCCAATATATCTGATGACAGCTCATTTTATATTGGTTGGAGAGATCCTGCTTTCAGGGTACAAACATTCCATGTGCTGATGGAAAGCACTTGCATGGTCATTTTGATTTGCTCAGAGTCCAGTCACCCCTCTCAAATGCATTGCTGGAATTACCCATGTGAGAATGTTGGCTTCCCCAAATACGCCAGCCAATGTGTCACCTCTATGCTGAAATCTTTCCATGTCATCATGAGTAATTATGGACAATAATCCTGATAGCATCGATTGCTGTTGTCATCCAAGGATGACTATCTGTCTTGAGGGGCATCAGACCCCTGATTTGAATTTGGAGTTTAATTTTCCTCGGTGGCTGCCTGCCAAGGCTGAAGAGCCCCACCTACCCCGAGCAGTCGGTTTCTTTTAAAAAGGTGCCAGATGCTCGTCTTTCACACCTCCATTTTTGATAGAAACATCTCTGCCGAGTGAAGGCAAGTGATGGGGAGTTTCCCTGTCAGAGGCAGTTGGTTTTGCTGGCCACTTGGGGGCATTTTATAGGAGATGGGAACTCATCCCCATCCCCACCGTGGCCATAACAGCCCTTTTCAGAGGCACATTCTGGTTAGACAAGGTAATTTGTTTAAAAATGGAAGAACTTTGTCTTCTGTTTGGCTGTGAAAGCAATGGGAGTTTGCCATTAAAAAGAAGCCTGTGTTACTTATGTACTAAACAACAGGCTGAACTGAGACTTTGCCTCAGCTAGGAGCAGTGTGTTGTTACGCTTCCCTGGAGCACACTGGGACTACCTCTTGGGTTCCCTTTTGTGTCAGGCCGATACATGGCACAGCGTATAGCCCCGGGAGTGCTTTCACAGCTATGTTGGCTCTCTCTCTCTATGCACTGACCAATGCTACACACATGCACCAGGGGGGAAAGGTGGGGAATATATCAGCTCTGCAGAGGCGGCCACTCCTCTGTGCTGCTACCCATGAGATGCTGTACACCTCCACATTCCTCTGTGTGTCCACAGAAGCTGGGCCAGAATTTGGTCCTATGTACGTGTACTATATTTCCACCATTTTAAGCAGTGCAAGCTCTGGTTGGACATTTTAAACTGATAACACAATGGCTTGTTTTTCAAGCCCCAATATTTTTGCTTTGTTATTTAAAATAATTATTAAAACATTTAGAGAAGCGTAATGAAGTTGAAAGTAGTTGCTTTCTAGCTGATGCCTCAAGTCTTTGAAACACCTGATGTGGTGACCTGATGTGAAGAGCAAAATATGCACCAGAAATGCAATACAAGTCAAACAAACACGCAGAGATGACATCTGTAAAGAAGGGGCAGTTTAAATAATAGCTGCAGAGTTCACTGCTCTTGATGGTTCTTTATTCATAATCCTTAATTTTAGATGGGTAGGAAACTAATTAAAGATGCATTTTAAAATGAAAAAGACAAAGAGCAAGAAAAAGTCACATATCCACTGTGTTACTGCTTATTGCATATTAACTGAAATGTAAATTACCCTATTAGGTGCTCTACAGTAGTGTTTCTCAAACTGGGGTCGCCGCTTGTGTAGGGAAAGCCCCTGGCGGGCCGGGCCGGTTTGTTTACCTGCCCCATCCGCAGGTCCGGCCGATCGCGGCACCCACTGGCCGCGGTTCACTGCTCCAGGCCAATGGGAGCTGCTGGAAGCGGCATGGGCCAAGGGACTTACTGGCCGCTGCTTCTAGCAGCCCCCATTGGCCTGCAGAAGCGAACTGCAGCCAGTGGGAGCCGCGATCGGCCAGACCTGCGGACGGGGCAGGCAAACAAACCGGCCCGGCCCGTCAGGGGTCTTCCCTACACAAGCGGCGACCCCAGTTTGAGAAACACTGCTCTACAGGATATCAAAATTATGTATCACCTTAATGAACCACTTTGATTGACCATGGGGCTGTATAACTTAAGGGATCTGAATTCAAAACGACATTTAGCACCTCTGTATGTGTATGATCAGGTGTGGTGTGGACAATGCCTGTAGGTCTGTGCAGGGATGGATCCACTGACCATTCCTCCTTTAGTGGTAGGGTGAATTTAATCTAATATTGCACATTCAGTCTTCAGATAACTAATCAAGACAGATAGTGATGAACACAAAGGG